GTCATAAGACGAAGATGCGTAGAAGCGACATAGAGCTTTATTTTTAATTTTCTTGATATGTAATAAAGCTTAAGGCTATTTTTGTATCTAATTTTGGGAATAGATTCGTTTAATTAATTAAAGAGCAATGGAATGACATATTTTGGCACATTTATTTTTCAAATACGCGTTAGGCCTACCTCTGGCATAAAGAGGCCACCCATATGTTAGGACGCATTATTTGATATATTTGTGTTACATGCTTTATAAATATTTGCTTGCCTAATTGTTTTGTGACTTATATGAATTCATTTGCACCATGATTTTAATTTATTATTACTAACATCATCTTTGTTTTTTTTTTCTTATCTTTTCAGAAGAGAAATTATCTTGCCTTCATCTTATTCTTTAATTGATACATGTTGCATTTTTACAAATTCTTATGTCATGTTCATATATCTTTTCTTTTTATATTTATCTTTCGTGCTTAGTGCATTTTTACAATTCTAAAGCATCAATTAGGCTCATAATCATCATAGGATTGCGTAATTTTTTTTATTGACCTTGTTTTAAAATTTTCTTAGGTTTATATCTTACAAAAAAAATCACTTTCTTGCTTTAAAATTTAAAAACTATTTTCCTTCCTCCGATCCTCTCAATATTCGTATCCGCGACTTGCTTTAAAAATTTTCTTCTTACTTTTTAAAAAATTGGCATAATTGTTTATCATTCATTAGGTGTGATATTTTTTTCCCGTTAAAACTTTATAGAGCCATGCCAAAATTCACTCTTATAAATCTTTACCTTCTCGACCTTTTTCAAGTCCCTCCTTTACGGGTACAATCTTAGCTTTCTATCGAGAAAAGCCTTTTTTTTCACTAGTTCCGCATTTCGTAGAATCCATTTGGCATTCGATCTACGTATGGAGCTTTTACTTTTACTTTCAATTTCTTTCATTTTTCACATATTTGTTGCTTCTTAAATTGGTAGATTCGCGCGATCTACCAAATAGCACTTGTTGATATTTGTTCAATTTTCTCCATCAAGAGCAACACTTCTTCAATTCAAAATAGCCGTGCTATTTTTATTAGGGGTTGTCAATATTTATTTTTACGCACTAATTCCAAGTATCGGCACGCAAGTCGAGAGAAATGTCAAAGGTTTTTCATTTGTTTGACATTTTCTTCATCCTTGACAATTTTTAATCCCCAAATACTAAAATAGAGTTTAAGGTCATTCAACCTTCCAATTCCATCTCTCGTGTGCTCGATTAACCATAATTTCCTTAATCTCGAGTTTTTTCCATCAAATTGGTTTATTATTATTTGTTTATTTTCTTAAATAGTATTCCTTATAGGACCAGATCTCGTTGGTTTTTAAATGCTCGGCAGGGCTAGAGGACGGTGTGGCTCAAGACGCAATGAATGGCTAAGTCGTATACTTTAAAAGTAGATGGAGTGATCAAGCGGCCCTACTCTTGACCTTTCGCATACTTACTCCACGCTTACCAAATATTTCATTTTTCCTTTCAAAGGTTGACTTAAGTTGAATATCAAAGGGACAAACAAACTCAAGGAAAACATGGCCGATCGAATTGTGATTGACTTAGTTAAAGACGAGTTTAACTGTGAAGAAGCCGAGTCATAGCGGGATAAAATTGCTAAGCTTGAGGGAAAAGTGGCAAAAATGGAACAAGAAATTGATGGCATCAAGGAAATGATAGCCGATCTTAAGAACTCTTCCAATGAAAATTCATTGGATTACAACTTTAGGGACTCCTCCGATGAAGATCTAGAGGGATACTCTCCTATTCGTGCAACTGGATATCCCAACTTTGATTGTAATACTCAACACTTTTTAGACATGCATCCACTTCCACAAAATGAGGCATTTGACGATTCAAGTGAAACTAGCAAAGATGGAGAAAATGATCAAAGACATTTTAATGCCGAGTCTAACCAAATTTTCTTCACAAATGAGCTTGCTCCACAACTTGGGACAAATTTGGTTGAGAAGGAAAATGAGAACGACACACATTATAACCTTGTTGATATTCTAATGTATGATAGGACAGGTCTTCCCCAGAACCATATAAAGGCATATCTTGATTGGTTAGCAAGCATAGGGAAAGGCAATGAGTTTAATATTATACTTTTTATTAGGACGCTTACAGGGCCAGCCTTGATGTGGTATGCAAACCAAGACACAAGGAAATGGCTCTCTTGGGTCGATTTGACCAAAGATTTTATTAAGCAATATAGGCCTCCTAATAGCGCATCTAAAGGGTGTGGTTTGTTGAAAAGGAAGTCTATAGAGTCTCCTGAGGGAATGAAAGGACATGAATCTCAAAACAAAGTAGCAAAATAAACTTTGGGGCATTATTGTTCGAATGAGCTACAATCTAGGGATAAAGGGAAGACAATTGTCACTGAAGCACCAAATGTTTCTCCACTAGTGCCTGAAGCGAGAAAAGCTCAAACTTTCATCCCTTTGAGTGAACTAATTTCATTTATATTCGAAAAGTTGAGATCATTAGGAATTTTGCAACCAAAGCCTCGTGAAATTCCTTTGCATCCTTTTAACCCAGCCAAACAAGGTGCTTTCCAGGCATGTTAGGTCACACTACTGATGAGTGCCGGTGATTAAAAGAAGAGATCCAAAGTCTATTGGATAGTGGCACGATCATTCAACGACGGGTAGCTCACCCTAAGTTTGTTTGGCATCAACTCTCGACCGTCATGCCGATGTCAAGTCATAATTGAGCGATTTATCCACAATCTATCAGTCAAATTCCTTCTCACAGTCAAGCAACTGTTGTACCAAGGATTATTGCACCAAATTTACCGTTTCAGGTATCTACTGCATGCACTTATGATATAGCCGAGCGAAGTACCAAGAATGGTTTCATTCAGAACAACCATTAGGCGTATGAGGGCTTTCTCAAAAAATGACTTTTAAGAGGCATAAAGCAAGACAATTAGTTTTTGTGTATCATCTTTTGAAAACAATTATGTATTTTTGAGAGCCTAAATGATCAATTATTTGTATGTTTTAAATTTCTTTTTATGTAAGGCAAACTACGCTTGACCTGATTTCCTTGGTGGATACGTAGGCAACCCATATAAGGACTCGGTCATATTTATTTAGAAATTTTAGTGTATCTCTTTCTTGTAATTGGAACTACGTTCGACCTGATTTCCTTGGTGGATACGTAGGCAGCCTATATAAGGCCCGATCGGTTTATTATAAAATTTTAGTATTTCTATGAGAAGGGGAATGAAGCTGGGGCATAATTTTTGACATGCAATTGAGATAATTTTTGGAAGCATGCCAAAATTTGCAAAGGATAGGGATCAAGTTGAAGAAAGAATTTGATGCTCGACATATGTAAACCTTTCTCCAAATCAAATTCTCTTTCCTTCCATTTTAGCGTTAGAGCCTATTAGCCAATACGTCTCTCTCGTCCACTCGCCTTAGACTTAAATCTTTGCCTCCAGTCTAAAATTCTTATTTTACAAAATCACATGCATAGTCTATTTTATCTAATATTTATTATTTATGCATTTATTTCATATATTCTCATGCACTAATAATTTATTTTTGTTTTTATAGTTTTGTTTCTTCTTTAGAGGTTGCCTAACATTGAACTCTATTTTGGCGGCGAATCTGCATTAAGGACGAAATTATAATGGCAGAGAAATTGAAAGCATTCAACAATGGCATGATATTTGTGCAAGAACAAAATGATGATTGTGAGAAGAATGTGGCTCGAAGAAACAATTTGATCAATTTGGAAACTACATTTAGCCTTCTTCCTATCACTACTAAAGCTTCCAGCTCAACTCAGAATATTTGTTTAACCATATCTCCTCGCCTAACTTCTACCTATATAATCTCTCCACAAATGCCCTCAATATACACTATCAATCCCAATAACTTTCAAGTCACTATGACGCCAAATATCCATCCTCCCACAATTTTATTTCCCTGCAAAGAAAACAAGCATAACCAATTAGCAGCTCATCTATATTCTAGACGTGAGAAGGATAATCAGTCAATTTTCCATGAAGATTTGGGAAAAGAACTCCACAATCTGAGAGAAGCCTTTGATGAATAGTTACGCTCAAGGAATTGTCAGAGTTTAAAGTATGAGAATTTATGTGTGCATCCAAATGTTGAACTTCCACCAAGGTACACGCTACCTAAGCTCAACACTTACAACGGGAAAGGAAATCCCGTCGCTCACTTAAAGGACTATTGCAGCAGATTAGCTAGTATTGGGCATGTTGAAGCCATACGAATGAGATTATTCATTCAAAGTTTATCAGGATTGGCAGTTGCTTGGTACACTAAGCAAGATTTTAGCAAATGGCATACATGGAAAGATATGGCCCGTAACTGTGTAAAGCAATATGAGTTCAATAATGGAGATGAATTGCATATAGCCAATTTACTCAAACTGAAGAAATTGTCGCATGAATCTTTTCAAGAATATGCCATACGATGGAGGTTAGAAGCTTCAAAAATGCATCCTTCATTATCCGAAGAGGAATTCATCTCAACCTTCATCCATGTTCAAGAAGGGCTATATTATGAAAAGCTGCTTGGAACTTGTGCACACAACTTCTCTTATTTGATTAAGGTTGGCAAAGAGATTGAAAATGTCACGACCCGAGCCTACATCCTGGACGTGGCTGGCACTCGAAGGCCATTGCTGGCCTCAAGCGAACCCTTGTCCTAGCTTACTTAACTCAGCGGAAGACTTAAACATAAGAAAATATAACTCATACACAACTTAAGAAATAATAGTTTAGCCAAAATGACAACTCAGTCTTCAAACAACATCTGAATGATAATGTAAAGACAATTGAACTACTAACTGTCTATGAAGCCTCTAAACAACTGAGATGGATGTTGAGACAAAACCCCTCAGCATCCTAATAAACTAAACTAGAAAGCGAATAAAAGAGTCCTCTGGAATGCAAAGAGGCTCACCACTGACTCTGAGTGTTCAACTGGATCAACGAGGTGCTGGATGCTAATCCTGGTTACCTGCGTCTGCATCATAAGACGATGCAAGCCAACTGGCATCAGTACATTGAATGTACGAGTATGCGAGTTGGAATGCTAAACAACAACTTAATCTTGAAAAGAGTAAGAAGGAAT